ACAAAAATAATACTCATCAAAACGATATAGAACAGTTAATCTATTATTCTATTCTGTGGTTCCTATTTTTCTTAACAATATAGCCACCTGCCCATTTATTTACCTATATTATGACATTTGTCATAGACAAAATCTACTTTCAGCGCCCCTGCCTGAGTCCAACTCTGAATTTTATTGCGTAATAACATAATTAAAATAGACACATTTTTATACTAAGATAGCAGTTATACCCAGAAGCAGATTGGCCTATCGAGAAATCGGGAATCTTCCCAATGGGCTGGTTCTTGTGAGGGCCAGTGGGGCCGCTATAATTATTATAAAATTATTAAAAAAAAAAAAAAAATTATATTCAAAAAATTGATTTAAATATTTTCAAAAAATCTTGTAGTGAAAAAAAGTGTGCAAAAAGTGTACTGTTTGCTGCTTTAATGTATATTGATGAAATATAAGATTTACAGTGATGTATATTATCAACTAGCACTTAACCTTATCTGACTAACCCAAAACTGTTATAGCTTTAATGATAGGTACCTTATATATTTTACTAATATTTTTGGGTGACACTAAACAAATTTTGAAATTTCAGTAGAATTATGACCATTTTTTTTTATTAATTGGTGGGGGGTTACATTTGTGGTGCAGGGCCAGTGTGCTCCATATTTCCCCAGCCAAAAAGAATTGCCAATTCGCCCCTGGCTATACCTACTGTTTTAGTTGAGGAATCTAATAGGTTATTGTATTTATAGTTCATCATATTAAATATGGATATCTTTTGAATAAACCCATCATATTTTTTCTTTCTTTTCCATCTTATTTTAATTTACCTATATTGTAAATATTAAACATTAAAAACATTATGAAACCAATTCTTAGAACTATGGATTCAAAAAATTAAAAATTAAAATATGATTAAAGTAATCAGGAACCCTAAAATCCTAAAACCATATTCGACTTACAAATAGCAGAGCTATTTTAAAACACTAGGAAAAAAATATATTGCTAAAAGTCCCAGTCCTATAAATTAGTGTCATATTCATTTCTCCAATTATTATTAAGTTTACAATGTTTACATACTTAAGATTTTAGAATAAATCAAAACAATTTATTATTATAGTTATTAAAATAACATTTTACTGTTTTGGGTTTAGTGATAGTGAAGATGCATTAAATGAAGTAGTAGAAGAAACACCATTACCAATAGATTTACCAAAGTTACCAGAAGATCCATTTTTATCACCCTATTTTGCAAATGATTATCTTTTTAAACAGCTGCCACCTATTCATATTGTGGTATGATATGATATATAATGATCTTAAATTGTTGAATTAGTGCTTATTGGTGTTATAATTAAGTTAAGAGGGTATATTTTTATACTTATAATGATGATTATGTATACAGGTTGTCCTGTGAGGATTTACCCATTGCTATATCTCCTGAGATATTAAATAGGTTTTTTATAAGACTCACTTAGACAAGGGCCACATGTATTTTATTTCTTAATTGTATTAAATTTTTTGGTAAAAAGTTAAAAACAAATAAACCTATTTTATAGAGTTTATTTTGGTGAAAATTTTGACCTTTTAACATTTTATTTTCATTTATCACATGGTTTTTAATCATTTTTTTAGTTTATAGATAAAACTACAAAAAACTCGTTTTTATCCGGGTGGCGAGTTCCCCTCTACGGCTAATGGGTATATCCTTACGGAATTTCTTGTATGTGATATTAAGTAATATAATTTTAAATTTTAAAATTATTTATGAAAACTATATTTAAGTTTCTGTAGATTTATTTAAAAAAATAAAATCATAAAATAATTATACTAAGATAATTGTTAATTTAACTGTTAGAAATTTGTTTATTTCAAAGAATTTATACATTCACAATCTAATAATAATATCAATTCTAGTTATTTACCTGAATTGAAATATTAAAACTAAAAAGTAGTAAAAACTTAAAAATAGCAGTTCAATCACATTTACTAGTGTCTTTCATATCATATATTTGCTAAATTTATAAAATACACATTCCTATAATCAATAATCAATAATCAATAACTTAATATTACCTAATAAGTCATTATTTTACAATTAATTATATTTATTTTTAATTCGTAAAATATGTTGTATATATTTTATGGCAATACAATGGTTAATGATTCATTTATTTAAAAAAAATAATGAATTGTTTCTGAAAAAATGATTATTCAATTATTATTTGACCATTGTAAAATTTATTATAATTTATAACTGATAAAAAACTTGGACTAATCTTTATTATACTACATATTTTAATTGGCTTAAAATATTACCGTCTACAGTATTTGTAATCATGTTTTTAAATAAATTTCATTATTTACAATATTTCAGACAGTACACATGGACCCATGCTTAGATGATTGTGTTATGTTTGCCAAACGGTTAAAAGAACTTGGAAAAAAAGTGAATATGGATATCTTAAAAGGATTACCTCATGGTTTCTTAAATTTGGCTATTGTAATTTGATATTTATAACTTATATAATTTTTTACATACTTATTGTGCTTGTATTTTTAATAGACATGTAAAGAAGCGCATGAAGGATCGGTATTGTGTGCTCAACGGATTGCAGATTTATTTAAAGAAATTGAAATATGTGAAAGTTAATATTCGTTTTGAATCTCATTTCATAACAAATAATTTGATAAATTGTATATATTGTATTCTACATTCTGTACTTAATATTACTATCTTGATTTAAAATAATTAAAATCATGAAGTTAAAATTCAAAATTCTAGTATTTGGTATGATTTTAAGTATTAAGAGGATGTGATACCCACATGTGTTATCTCCGTCTTACAAGTGTGTAACATAACAAATTTTATGCTCATCAGATCACGTTTAGTTCCATTAGTTTAAAATTTAGAATTAATCGACCTCTTATAAAAATTAAAGGTTACATTATTACACAAGGTTTTTTATTACGAGTGTTTTAAAATTGTAAATTGTTTGTATATCTCAAAATACTCATAACTCACTTAAAAATTAAAATATAATACAAAGCCTTTGAGAATCCATAGATAATAATGTTTCCTTTAATTTTTATAAGAAGTCAATTCACTCTAAATATTAAACTAACGGAGCTAATTGTGATCTGGTGAGAGTGAAATTTGTGATGTTATGCACTTGAAAGACGGAGAAAACACATACAGGTATCACATCCTCTTAACAGATTTATACCACTATTTGTTAACATTTAAGAGTGGAGAAAGCATATGTTGTCTCAATCTTATAAACGTATTTTGTGTTCAGCAGTTCCAGTTAAGTGTAATAACTTTTAATGATAAATTAATTGAATATATAATTAACTTATAAATAACAACTCAATCTCTGTTTTTACAAGAATTTTGACAATATTTTCATTTTTGAGCAAGTTATGATAATTTTTTAATTGTAGCATATGTAAGACAGAAATGTTACACACGTATATGGAATCCTCATAAGATACCTTGGGAAACTAGTTTTAAGACTATTTCAAAAATACTTAAACAACCCGAAACTGTTTTTATGTGTGTTTATTTTATACTGTATGTATATTTACAGTATGTGTTCTATTATAATGTATTAATACAATAAACAATTAAGAAAGCTAATCAGTATTTAATCTTTTTTAAAGTTATTTGAATGATGTTCATTTTTCCCATTTATAGTTTTTGGTTGTAGACGTTTTTCCAGCACGTAAGCATCTGCTGGTTCTATCCTCTTATAATAATGCTCTTTAGTTTCAACTATCTCAAACCCAAATTTTTTGTAAAACTTTATGGCACTGTCATTATTCAATTGAACATGTCTAAAAAAAAAAATTATTTAAAAATATAATCCTTCAATGTTTATGCTAAATATACTTACAAATAAACACTATCAAATGTACCATCATTTTCAACATAGTTTAAAACATGTTCAACCATCATACTTCCTATACCAAGTCTTCTATACTGTGATAAGCACCCCAAAGTCATTATATAAAGTCGACGACCAACTTCTTGGTCTATTCGACAACATACAGCTCCAACCACAATATCATTATAGTACGCTAAATATATATACATAAATATATGAATGCATTTAAAAAGTTATAGTGATCAAGTAAGCCACATACCTAACTTAGCTAATTCTCCAGCTTCTAGGACATCTTTATAAAACTTCTCATTATATGACACAGGGAAAACTACAGTATTTAATCGTTTGAGTTGTTTTATGTTATGATGAGTAATTTCACCCAATTCCAACTTGGCTCTAAAAAAATAGTCACATAGTTAAATTAGTACAAGAAATCTGTTAACTAATATATTGTAAAACATTATACGATCTAATGATCTTATAAGATTTTTAAAATTGATGAACATATGAATTAAAAACAGCAAAAATTCTTGATTGTATAATCTTTCAAAAACAAGCGAAACATAATCATAGTTACTAACAACAAATAAATTTCATAGGCTAAACTGAATCATGTGCTGAAAAGTCAAGATCCAAGTCAATAAGCAGACATTCGTCTTTGATAAACATACATAATGAAGGTATCATCAATCATTATAATCTTTAGTTGTTGAAAAGTTTAATCAATAATTCATCAAAAGGACATACAATGTGCAAAAGACCTGTTCAAAGAAGCACTATAAAACTCAAATATTGTTATCTGTTTGATTTTGAAATTATATATTTGTTTGATTTGTGCAAAGATACCATATTGGAGCACTAGTATTTGTAAAAAAAAATACTGATCAATATGTCTATTATAAGGCAGGTATCTTGAATTTTTGTTTTATCATCAAATCATAAAAGGTTAACAACTTTTTTTGAAAACACAATATTTGAAATGTATACATCATTTTATTATTAGTTGTAGTTTTGTTTAATAATTGTTCATAATTTAAATGAATAGAAATAAATAATACAACAATTAATAACAAATAGGTATTTACAATGAAAATTTCAAATATAACTTTGATAACTTTAAATACTATTTAAAAATGTGAAATTTCTCTCGTAAAAATCAAACATAGTTCTAATTTGTATTACCTCGTCATGATGGTTTTGGTTTAACTCCAGTAAATATTTTATAATTCCAGTAGACACTGGACACTGTCTAAACAGTCGTGGTTCGACTTTAATTGTTGAAATCTAAAATAGTAAATCTTTGATAATAAATTCTAAAATGATAATAGTAAAGATAAACAGTACTGCCACCTTAGATATCAGTATATATCAGTCACAACCAAGATCGTGGTCACAACTTACAACCTCACGACTTACGGACTTCTTACTTCATATTAGTTAATAATGTTCATATCCACCAGACGACGAAACCACGAGTATCAGTTTTGCACAGGCCACAGATTGTCAGATTATATACAGTGATCTTGTTCCATATTATAGTCTCTGATATTAGTATATTATTATATTAGCATAGACTTATAAACATAAAACATTATGAACTTGGGATAGTCTATATGCCGTTTATGGATTTCAGCATTTAGATTGGATTATACGACGATTTAGGATACTATATATCGGCTGTCATATGACATATAGTATGCGGCCTACCGGCCGCTGTAGGATGCGGTCTGCCTGTGGTTTTTACATATTAGATACATTTTAATCTTTTTCTATCATTTAAATACACTTTATCTTAATTGCATTATACACAGATAACAATACTTTAACATTTTGTAAAAGTATTGGCTCAATAGCTCAGTATGCCATTTTTAATTGCGGGACACCATATTTTATACACCCAATATGTTGGCAAAAGTAATAATAATTAGTAGTGACGAATCTACCACAATTTTTTTAATTAGCAAAAATCTTGTGGCAAATAATGAAAATTCCGAATGTATTAAGTGCGGAAGTGCTATGAATTTATATCTCATACCTACGCAAGGAGAGAGGTAAGGAGTGTTATAAAACACAAAAAAAAATGCAGTTTATGATATGACAAAAACTTTATTAATTTTAACGCACATGACATCTGAAAGACGGTCATCTGATCTGTGGGCTAGAAGCGCTCATTGCGCTAAAATTGACGTACAACTAAACCATACCATGCGTATCATATCAGGTACAGTCAGGTCCACTCAGACAATATGGTTACCCACCCTTTCGAATATAGCCCCCCCAGACTTAAGGAGACTATCACACACCACAAAGATATTACATAAGCTAAAAAGCCTGCTACCAGTTTTGCCACTACAAATTGACATCCTCGAACATCCGCCATTACGCCTTAAGTCTAGAGCTCTCATATGGCATGCAGAAACTCAAAGCGAATCAGTTGAGTACCTATGGACGAGACGCTGGGAACAGTCAGAACCCCGTAATAAAGACCTGATCAAAGAACCATTTAAAAAAGTCCCTGGCTGGGATGGCACAAGGGCTATGTGGAYAACGCTTAATCGAATAAGAACGGAACAAGGAAGATGCAACTACCTACTTCACAAGTGGGGAATGGTAGACTCTCCACTTTGCGAATGTGGAGAAACGCAGACAATCAAACATATGGTTGAGTCGTGTTCTATTACAATGTTCAAAGAAAGATTAACAAAACTACACGAGGGTGGACCAACAGCTATAAAATAATGGCTTGAAGAACTAAATACTCGTCTGTGATTTTTATTGCTATTAGTATTGATGTTATTATAATTTACTATACCTACTATAACCTATCATACTAACACTTTATATATTTTATTACCTGTTTTTAAATAGTTGACTAGTTATCTTAATTATCATATTTATTTATTTGTTTCAAATTTTACTAACTCTATCTATAACATTTCTCACGTTATCTAAAGTCGAATATGTCATATGCAAATAATAATAATAATACTTGGGTGATAACTAAGGGCCCTCTGTACTTTGGTTGTAGTTTAGTCGGTTGCCTAGTGTACTCTGGTGCATCTTCTTTAGACAAACTATTTCACCAACTGAGTAATTAACATGTGCAGCGTTGTACCTTATCTTCCACAACTCATGTTCCTTTGTTATACGTTCCCTGATTCTAGATTGTAATGATACACTGTTTGTCCATGTTTGATCATTGTTAAGTAGTCTGGACAATGCTCCATCATTAACATTGGCATAGTACCCAAACAGTGCGTGAAATGGAGTATCTCCAATAGTTTTGTTGACTGAATTGTTGAGCTGACTCTCCACCCGTTGAATCTCTTTATCCCATGTTCTATCAGTGTACATGCTCACTTGTATCATAGGTAAAAAAGTTGCAATTGCGCGCTCGACTTGCCCATTAGCTTGCGGGTGACGTATAGAAATAATTTTTTTTGCTAACTGTTCTATCTCAGCTAATTGAATTCACAACATGTTGTACAAATAAACCTCTGTGGTTTGAGGATGTAATCACACATAGCTCAAGATCAATAGAGTCGTCAACCTTCAATGAGGTAGATATCGGCCTCCCAATCCACCCTGATCCCATACGTAAGAGAGATTTGTTTCAAGTCACTGAGAATTGTAACTCCAGAGTTTATAAGATTGATAGGCAAGATTTCATATTTTATTCTCCAGTCAAAGGATTTCCTAGCAATTTAGATTGCGCAATAACGGAGATGGGGACCATAACTTGCAAGAATTATGAGCGGCATTCTACATTTACAGGAACGTTTCCAACCAAGTCATCAAAGATGAAAAATTGCCCAATCAACTGGACTCCCGTTGACTTATATATCCATAAAGCAGGAGACTCATACATTGTTGACTTCCCCGACTTCAAAATCGAAAAAGGTAAAGTAGTGTGTCATGTTGAAATT